TGAACGCTTGAGAATTTGCGAGAACGCCATTTTTGTTGGTCCCGTTAACACTACTACTGCATCTCTCATCTCATATTACGTGAAATGTCAAAGAAAATAAGACATGATTTTTAGAGGAAATTATACGAATAAATAATAATCCTAGTTAATATTTAATATATATCCTAAATAAACTTTAAAATATCATTATTAAAAATAATTTTTTGTTACATAAAATAATTTATTATTAAAAAAAAATCATTATTAAACTGTAACACCATTTCAATTTGGTAGAGGACTCTCTCCTCTGTTTCTCTCTTCTTCATCCCGTCAACTATCTTTTCTATCTCCTCATTGAAGACCTTGAAGATTAAGGGTGTGTTTGGGATTGCTTTTTGAACATAAAAGTTCTTTTTGTAAAAAAAAATTTGTAAAAGAACTTTATCTAAAAGATGGTGTTTAAAATGTGATTGGCTTGTCTTTTATGATTTTTAAGTGATAAAAGCTAAAAATCACAAAAAGATAGGTATTCCTATCTTTTCTCCAGTCAATTTTTTCTTCTTGAATAAAGTTGGTTTTAAAAGATCTTTTTAATTTGCCAAACAACTTTTAGTAATTTTTAACTTTTTGAAAAAGTTAAAAATCAAAAAGATGATTAAAAAGAAATGTCAAACACCCTCTAAGAATAACACTCATAAATATCATGTTTGGTTTAACCAATGACGATATTCAGACACACAAGATTTACGAGGTACTCAGAATATGTTATCGTCAATCCAAACGCTGACATTGTTCTTTTTCTATTATTTTATTGAGCCCCACACCGATTCTTCAAATAAATCATTGGTATATATGATATTTATATTTTAGGTGTGATTATTTAGGGCCCAACTAAAAAAAGACACTTGCAGAGTACTTATAGTATGTGTTCGGTTTGGTTTCTATCTGATCTCAAATGACTATGTTACCCTTATTTTATTTTTATCTTTTGTTTTTCTGTTTTGTTTATTTTATATAAGTATTTAGATTCCGAATCATCGATATACTCACCATCAACCACTTGTCTCTCACCTCTCTCCATTTGAGAAGCTCACCGCCACCATCCATTTCCGATCATAAAAACCACCATGCCACCATCTTTTCTCATTTTGAATTTTTCCCAAATTGAATAATTGTTTAAATTTTCTCTAACTTGTAAAACTTGAAACCCTTTTTTACTTATTATACGATGAAAAGTGTAACATTCTAAAATTTCAGTTTAGGATGTTGGCATATATTAATGTAATGAATGGTACGTATTTGTACTAATAGAAATACCAAGGCCCTTACACCGTGTAAAAGTGGGACAAAATGTGAAGAATGTTGTCGATATGCATCACGTGATGTATTATGATGAAAACTATAATGAGGAATGTTATAATATACATTATTAGTGAACGGGTGAAAAAAGATTATCACTTGAATATGAATTCAAAGAAATCGCAAAACAAATTCATATAATCGGCAAAAAAAAAAAAAAAAAAAAACACATTGCCATTTAATCACTTTTGGGTGGAACATGGGCCGTATCACCATGGAACACAGCCGTGTCCCATTCTTGTGGTCCAGAAAAGTCCCTATAACATGTGCAATGCCGGGTCTTTAGCCTCTCATTTCACCCGCACAGTTCTTCACATATCATCTAGGGGTGAATTTGAGAGCTCAAGACTTGGAGATTGAAGCTCTATCCAAGGATTTCCAAGATGATTAAGAATCAAGGCTTCTACATCTTGGATTGAAGGTAATTTCTTCTTCTTAGCAAAGCTTAGATAAGCTTTAATGGTTATAATGTGCAAAATTATAGGGGTGTGATGTGTCAATTTGTTGGATGGCCTGAACACGGAGTAAACATCCCCCACAGAATCGAGGACTAGCAGCGTATACATCTGTTGATATAGTGAAGAAAGTCATCATATTAGATTTAGGTCCTGTACATCGTTAGTTGGCAGTTATACCTGTTGACAGTTAGATGGCAGTTATGTTAAGTATTAACCGACTTCCAAGAAGGGTTGTGTCAGTTAATTAGTTGTCTATAAATATGTATAAACTCTGTATGTAAACGTGTGGTGATTATTATAATACAAGATTTGTTAGTTATTTTCTGTGTAAAACTCTCATATTGTCCAACATATTGGTATCAGAGCCAACTTCTCTTCATGTCGATTGCCATCACAAACCCAATTTCCCAAACTAAATGGAAGGAAGTAACTCCATTCGAGTATTCAGATTCAAGTCTTTGGATCACAAGACTCATGGGGAATCATAAAAGAAGGAATTAAAGAAGAAACAAACAAATGAATTAAAGGAATCAAAGAAACAAGATAAGAAAGCCATGTTCCTGATTTATCAGGCCGTTGATGAAAACATATTTGGAAGAATCTCTTCATCCAAAACATGAACAAAATAAAGAGGATTCTCAAGATGATTCAGACGAGGAAGATGGCCATAAATGTTTTTATTGCCATAAATTTGGGCACCAGATCAAGTTTTGCAGAAGAAGATGATGACACCTTAGTATTCAAGACTCACCACAAGATGATAAGAAATCATATGAAACAATTGACTTCTAGCTTGTATTCAACATCCAATATCAACTGGTTTCTCACTTGAAATAAGATATAGGACTATCATCTTTGAGGTTGTATCTTCCAAAATGTTGAACAAGGTATATGTAGTAATCAAAAGTTTCAATAACAGAACTCAAAATAAGTAAGATTCAATAATAATTCCAAAGATGGTATAACTCTGACTTTTTCACAAAAATTTGCATGAATCCAATGGGGTCAAACATCTTCATGTTGGCCAATAATTAGCAGCCCTGAAAAGTCAATGATACATACACCGCGTTAAAGTTTTAATTCTGAGCATTAACAACTTGAAACAATTGTATAAGTTGCAAAAATATTATGAAAATTAATACCTTTCTGATAAAAGTTCTTCGGGTCATTTCATGATTAAAGTAGCACTTGGAGACTTCTCAATCAAGAAGTTTCTAGCTTCAATAGACATTTTTACATCCATACGCATGCTGAAGTCTATAGTCAAGCAAATCAAGTTGGTAAAAGGTGAAGAATGGTGCAATAATAAATCTGGAAATGATGAAATACACTGCATGCACAAAAACAAAAAGAAATATATACATTAAAGATGCATATGCATATATAGATTGTATAATATCATGATACCTCAACAATGTAAGCATCAAGTGTAACATATCTGGCACTATGGAGCTTCTGAAGCATGTGAATAGTTTTGAGAGCATCTTCCTCCTTATATGGCATTTTTAACCAACATATATTCACTTCATTTAGAGAATGGAAACAATCTTTGAACAATTGCGGATGCGGAAAACCCGTATAACACAAAGATGAAAGAATTGATGGAGCATTCAAGAGTTTGATGAAGCAATGGTATATTGTGAGATTCTCAAGTTGAGGTGCAATCAGATTGATGATGACTCTTGAACATTTCCCACCGATAAGAATGAGATTAGAAAGTCGAGGGGTAATGATGTCAAATTCCTCCACATCCACATTAATAACAAAAGATTCTAAAGTGAGGTGCTTTAAGTTTACACACTTGGAGAAAAGATCACCACTCAATACGATGCCACTAAGATGCAAAGTTGTTAAAGCTGGAAAATCCCAAGGTGTTTTGGGTGTAATATTGCAAGCTCCAATCACAATGCTAGTCAGTGTGAAATGTTTGAGTGAATTAGAGGTAAACAGGAAAGGAGGGTTATTTGGAAGGTGGTGTGTGAGCCAGATAGTTAGTTGTTGGACATTGTGAGAGCATACATAATCTGCAATCTTTCTCACAAAAAAATCGTTAGCTGCTCCTTGGAAATGTAGCTTTAACAAAGACACTTCTCTTTGATGATCACGATGAAACAAAACATGAGTCATGAATTCAGCAAACCTAAGTAAAGACCCAAAATTACAGCTTGAGAAGTTAACAAAGGGCATTGATGTCCACAGAAGCTTCCATCTTGATGACAGCAAACACGTTTCAACAACAAATTTCATGTCAAAACAAGACATGATCTTATGAAGAAGCTCATCTGGCAATCTGCTTAATCTATCTTTTTCTACAACCCACCTAACATTATTGTGATCAAACTCCATTCTCTGTTATTCACACAATCCTGTCAAAATCCCTTATACACACAATCCTATTTTTCTTGTGATTCTGATCAGAAAATAAGATTCATATATATACATCTTCACTGATAGCCAGATAACCATCCTTCCTTCTCTTTTGAGTCCACAAATCACATTCCCATAGCAAATGATAATCTGCACTTCAGAATGTAAAAGTTAATTCAATTATATTTACTTGGTTAATAGATAAGAATACCAACTAAATATATGGAGCACAGATTAAGACATAACATCCATACTGCATCAGATAATGCTGCAGTTATAAGGATGGTCTTATGCCACTTTTGTAAATGTATCAAGGCAATTTGCAAATGTCATAACTCTTTTAGCTAGCTGATAAGTTTATGATTCTTTTTCTAACAAAGACATGCTTTATTCCTATTCTGCTAGTGAAATTAAGAATCCAAAGAGGTCATGATATAATTCTACATCCTACACTGAGAACCCAATTTTTCACTCATAATACAAGTGTATAAATGCCTAAGATCGAAGTTACTAAAAGACCACAAGAACATGTATAAAAATGTATGTTCATATGAGAAAACTAAATATAAACATATGAATAATGAAATGGGATAAACCAAAAGCCCTAATTCCATCTGATTTGGTTAAGAGTGGGATCATCAATTAACAGGTCGTACATATAGACTAACATTAAAAAAATAACAATCATGCCAAATACGTCATGATAACAATTATTTTGATTACTGACAAGCAACATCAAGTACCTATCACCGATCACCATGGAAAAGAACAGAAAAAACTATAAATCTCAAACATCCACGTCAATCAGTACTGCAGTATCGCTATAGATATTAACTAATCCACAAATCAGTAGTTTTTACGATATTCTCGCTGATACATCAGACGAAAAGCTCTATAACCTATCAACTAAGACACGAGAACGATTAAAAGAACGTAGAATGATGACGTCGATGAAAATAGAACAAGAGGAAGTTGATAATTAATGCATGGATGACGACGGAAAATTAGGGATTGACAGAGACGTACCTCCGGAATTATACCACCATCGAAGCAATTATGGTTGATTGTATGTTATCTGCAATCACCTTATAAGACTCCGTCGTGAACCCCTACACTTTAACCAGAGATACACCGTTGATTGTATCGTTGGGGATGTTTTAGCTTGCTTAAAAACCCTTTTATTGCGTTCTTTCCATAAACAACATATCTGCATGCCAAACGGCTTTCAAATCTACGACTCCCTATTATGCTATCAAAGATTCTTTTCCCGCCCAATATTTATAAATGAACTTCCGAAAATGCCCATGCTTACTATACCCTTGGCCTTTAAATTCGTGATGTGCATCCCTTGAAATCTTCCTGATTTTTTGCATTTGACCTGTACAAACATTTAAATGACTCACTTTAAATTAGGTAAATATAATCCTATTAATTTCTCTTACTCATATTTATTTATACTAAAACTAGGTTTAAACCCGTGGAAATCCACGGGTGATAAATTGAAATATAATTATAGTTTTTAATTTGTAACAAAAAAAAGATATGAAAGTTTAGAAAAAATGAAGAATAGTGATATTAGCATTAATATGAATAAGTCAAATACAATAAAGTTGTAAAAATTAATTAATTAATATGATAGATGAAATACGATACAAGAAAAGTAAATAAAAGATGGTAGAAAAGTAAATAAAAGATGGTAGAAAAACATTGTTTATAAATTCCCAAAAACTTCCTTATAAACGACATTGGAAGTTTTATTTGTGAGACTACCATCCTTATCTAAAATTAACAATTTTAATCCGTCCCTACTTTGGACTCTAGATAAAGCAACATACAATTGGCCATGTGAAAACACGGGATGTTTGAGAAACAAACCAACCTTGGATAATGACTGTCC